CTACACCACAATTAAACAGCCTCTTAGCCTGAGCCCCATGAGCCTGAGTCAGCTGTCACGGGTCAGCCACAGGTGTCTAATTGCAGTGTAGACATATCCTATGGGGTTCCAGGAGCTAAGAGCTGGCATGTTGCTCACAGGAAGTAAGATTTCCAGCACTTTATGCCAACGTGAGTGGCTGACCAGTTGTTGGAGCATCAGGAGAAAGAATGAAATAGAAGGTTAAAGGAAATTAATCTGGAAAGGGAGAAGGAGACATGAGAAGAGTGACTCAGTGGTCTATGCTTAGTCCTTTCTGCCGGCTTTATTTACAGGGTTTACCACTTTACGTTTGAGATCCTGGTGGTTGAAGGGGAGAATGCAGGGGCTGTGTCAGGATGGAAGGATCCCTGGGCAGGTGAGCAGGAGTGTCTGTGTTGTTGATGAACTGGAAGGGACTTGTGTAAGTTCCCTGTTAATAAAGCCACCACTGGGCCTCACGGAAATGCATCTCAGCTTTCATTTAAAAAGAATCTTTCTTGCCCTTTTAATCATGAAGAACTTTGAAAATGTAACTGATGCCAACTGATTATTTGACAGATTTGGCGGAGGTGGACAGAGCATTTTATCAAGGGCATGTCACGTGATCTGCCCACTGAGACAGAATTTTTTGAGGGAACCCTTGTGAAAATGTTGGCAGCAAGTGGGTGCTTTGTATCAGGGAGTGTAACAACAACAGAGGAGCCTCACTAAGGAATGGTCTCACCCCTTTCACATAAATGGTTTGTAAACTCCATGGCTGGTGCTGGGATTGACAGTATGAGAAGCAAGGAATTAGAGGGGAACAGGCTACGTAAAAAGCACTAGCGAAGTCAGTACAAACTAAAATTTCATACAGACAATTACTTGCTTATACTGTTGTATACGCTATACGCTGAAATGTAAGTACAGTATTTATATTCCAATTAATTTATTTTATAATTGTGTAAACAGGGTCTGAATGAACTCTCTTCTGACAGCTAGTTGGGGGACAGGGAGAGACTTCAGGAGCAAACTGTATTTATATGAACACACCTACTCTGCGTAGGTATCCAACAGATAGAGCTCTGTTGCTCAAAGTGATCAACTTTGGCTGGTGTTGGGTTACAAATCACTTTAGTACTGAAAGCAGGGGTAGCGAGATGTTGTTATCAATGTTGTTGTCTTTATTGTATGAATAAAGGGGAGCAGAACTGTGCTTAACCTGTCCCAAATGAGGGGGTCACCCTCAGCTGAAAGGACCTTGTTAAGTCAGGGTCTTGAATGCCAGAGCCCTGTGAGAGTAAGAGGGGTGAGGACAGGGTGTCCCTAAGGGTCCTTGGTCTGGTTTAACCTATTCTTCCCCACTGTTCAAAGATAGAGCTAATCAGGCTTCATTAGGAGCCTTTTGTTATTTCAAGTACTCAATAAGAGCTGAAATCACTTGTGGTGGGGCAGTGTTTTTGCCCAGCCTGCTGAGAGCTAAAAATCACGAAGAGACTGACCTACAGAGGTCACAGCAGAGAGGCAGGTGGTAGCAGAAGGTAACTGATGGGTGGCCAGCAAAAGTGGCAAACAGTCGCCCAGCAGGAGTGGTTGGCAGGGCGGCCAGGCAGCGAGGAACAGCGGCTGATGGGGCGGCTGGCTAGAGCAAGTGCTCAGATGGTGGAGCAAGCAAGGTGCCTTCATCCCAGAGTGGGAGGTGAACTCACACAGATGCACCTCTGAACCCTGGGTCCTCACTGACCAAGGACAAGCACTGTGAATGGGATATGGTGAGGGAACCGAGGGGGGAGCACAGAAAAGGAACTTTTGGTTGTAGAGCTCAAGACTATGAGGCAGAAGACTCTGCCCCATGCACTCCGGGGTTGGTGTCCTGCTCACAATTTTATGTTTATGAATCCTGCTTGTGGCATTTCCCCTAATTAATGGTGGGTGAATTCTCTCCTTTCATTAAAAGTTGCTTTTCTACACTCAGACTCTGTGCTTGCGAGTGGGGAAGTATTGCCTCTCAGGAGGGGTGCCCAGGGTGGTGTGTAATTTTCCCAGGTTACTGGGTGGAGGTTTGAGCTGGTTCTTTGTTATATTGTTGAACCTGGCCCTGGTTGCTGCTGGCTCCACCTGGCAGAAGGTTTACAATTATATGGTCAAAATGAGAAAGTAAGCAATTTTTCAGTAATAGCGTGCTGTGACATGTTCGTATTTTTATGTTTGGTTTTATAAGCAAGTAGTTTTTGAATGAGGTGAAACCTGGAGGTATGCAAGACAAATCAGACTACTGAAAGGGGTACAGTAGTCTGGAAAGGTTGAGAGACACTGGTATAGTGAACTCTTCGATCCTTAGTGAAATTCCTTATAGGAATGAGAGATGTCAAAACCTATTAAGTATTCATGTCCATCTCCTGGGAGACGGTGGTAGGATTGTTCATTGCACTGTTTATTTTTGTATTTTATCCTGTCCAATTTTAAATGACTCAGAGAGTGGGGCTTCCACCATAGTCCACTGGAGATTGTTCCACAATCAGGTAGATCTCACTTTGTCCCTGGCTTACTAACCTGGCTTCAGACTATGAATGCTGGGTAGTTTCTTTTTCAGCTTGGGAGCGTACAGATCTGTGTCTACCAGGTTCAAGGATTTTGAGATCTTTAACAATAGGGACTTTGCTATTGCTATTAATTTTACATTGAAGGCACTCAGTTATTGTGCAGCTGGATGGCAGCATAAAACCTCTAAGATAGTGTGACCTACCGATGAGTGTGTTACAGGTACCAATCTGCAGCAGCTATGAGTTGTTACAGCCCCTATCTAGAAAGTTTTGGCTCTTTAATTCAAGCTGTAGCAGCACATGCTTTTAGCTCTGGAGGGTGTTGGTTCAATCGCTGGTGTGTTGGCCAAGAGGGTAGACGTCACAGTTGGTAGGTAGCTACATGGTAGTGGAAGTGCTGAGGTATTTGGAACTCCAAAACATTACCTCAATAGACATTTCTGGGAGGTGCTGGTTCATCAAGTCTATGAGCTAGAGAGGATAAAGAAAAGTACTATGAGTCAGATTTTGTTCCAGTTATGCAAGTCTAAATCTGTAGTAACCTCACTGAAGTAAATGAAGTTACTCCTGATTTACTTCAGTGTAACTGAGATCAGAATTTGGCCCCATGCCCCCATTAGGGGACTGATAGATTGCACTGCTCTTATGTGGTCCACATAAAACAGAAGGCTGAAGGGCATCGTGTTTTTGCACAGATCTCATTGCTCTTATGCTTTCCCTATAAAGCAAAAGGCTGAAGGGCATATTGTTTTTGCACAGACTTCTTCTGGGACACAGTCTTGCTCTAAGCACTATGCTCTTGATGCAGGAAGACCATTGTCACCTTGTTGAAATTGTCTGCATCTGGCCCCCAAGACATCTGAATTTGTTAGGAGATGTGCGGAACTGTTGAAAGCTATGCAGCCATTTCACTTTCTTACATGATTAAGTCAACAGTGAAGTTCTTTTGTGTTTTCCAGAGATACCATCCCTGGGGATTCCTAATACTACTTTGGACTATTTAATGCTGCTGCGTGGCTGTTATACACCTCAGAGGCAGCTGCATTTCTGCACTGGGCAAAGTGATCAATATGCTCTGTAAGTAATAATAATTATTTATTATTTATTGAGCACTGTGAGTTGGCTCAGTGCTGTGCAAACATAGAGAAAGACAGAGGCCTTGATTCTTTTCTAGGATGTGAAAGAGAAGGAAGGGCAGGTATCTTTCCAATCTGTCCACAGGGTAAATGCATTTCTAAGTGTCTGTCCTCTAGGCACAATACACACACTGTACAGCACTCTAGGATCTGTCTAGAAGGGTTCTTAGGTTGCAAAATCTAATAGAATAAAAATGTTTGTTTTGTTTTAAATGTCTGTGACTACTAGTGTTCTGGGCAAAAGCTTGTTTCCTTTTACTTATGCAAGTAGTCCTTGTTCACCTGGTTAATTTTGTTGAATTCAATGAATTATACATGTGGGGAGACTCTGCCCTTTAAAAAAAATTAAACATTCTCCGACAATGTTGTAAATGGAAATGTAGCAGCAGAATTAGGCTAGTTCATGAGAACCAGGAAGTGAAACTGGCTAGAAAGGGAAAGTGAAACCAATCAGTCTAATTTCTCAAGTTGGTGAAGGCTCAAAAATAAACAAACAACAGCAGTGGGAAAAGTTGAGACTCTTAAGTCTTTCAGTTGTTATATTCAGATACCTCAGGGCTGAGTGTGGTATGAATAAAAGATAGCTAGGCAGACAGAGGAAAAGATATGCTATTTGTAACACATACTTCTTTAGAGATATGTTGTATATCTTGACAGTATCCTTTTATAATTTTCCATGCAGTGTCGAAGACTCCCATTGCTGTGAGTTTATTCCTGTCAAGGCAGTTGTGAGTTGCGGACAGAGTACCATCTGCAGTCAGTATTGCCTGCCTTTCACCGCCAGTCTTACCATCTTTAACTCTGGTGTTATTTGTAGTGACTATGAATGTAAAATATAGGCAGAGGTATATACATTCATGAGTGTGCATGTCCCTTATAGGAAAGTCCTATAGAATTTAACAGAGTGACTATCTTTCTGTAGCCCTTTTAAGACAAACTATAGAACCCTACAGCAGGAAGAACCCAAATAGAATAGAAATAATTCTCTGTTAAATTCAATAGGATGATTTAATAATTCTGTAGGAAGGAGATCATTCTCTATCATGTGCTGTAGGTTTGCAGAGTCATTTAAATATATCCCTGTTTAATTTCTATAGAACCCTATTAGTTTCATCCCTATTAAATTCTACAGGACTTTCCCAGGAGGGGAGCGTGTGTGTGTTATCTCCCCGTTCCAGTTTGAGTAAGAATCCTTTTCAGTGTGGGAAAGCTGGGCTCCCAAGCACCTGCCTCTTAGTCATCCAGGGCTTGAGGATGTCCCCAGATTACATCTTGTCAGCTGTTTGCAAAACAGCCCTGGGAGGAGGAGGTGAAACCCTGAGCCACACAGCCTGGCTGTCTCTTTAAATGCTGGGGTCTGTGTGCTGGAGAGGGAGGGATCGGCTCTGGAGTGCGTGAAATTCCTGGGCTCCTCTGACAGTCTCAGGCAGAGAGCTCAGCTCTACACATCTCCTCTTGCATGCAACTCACTGAGAGGGAGAGGCAAGCCAAACCTCCCCTTTCTGCCTGCATCCCAAGCCATCAAGGACCCGTTTTAGCATCTCCAGTACCCTCACCCTTCCTCACCAGTCCTTCCTAGAGAGACACCCTGGATTCTTACATCCCCAAAGAGGAAACAAACAAAGAGTTGATAAAACAGCCAAAACATCTTCTCAACTGCAAAGGTAAGACTTTGGGGGAAGGATGGATGGCAGGATGGAAGAAAGACCCAAAATGAACAGATATTTCTGTGTATCCAGTAGAAAGTCTTTCAGTTTAAAAGGTAATGGGTGCTTTCACTTGAGAGTTCCAAGAGTGATTGGTTTTTTTTAAAATTTTTGATCACAAATATCTTGGAGATTTGTTATTTTTCGGTCTCTTCCTGCGAGTTTTTTATCAACCTGCCCCTGCCCTCCTTTCCTTCCCCCCTCACCTCCCTGTTATGAAAAGTCAGAAAGATTTTTGGAAACGGCACACCTAGTGGGATGATCTGTTTTCAGGTGACAAGCACAAACTCTCCTCTCTAACCAATACTTTTATTTTTGCTTTTTTTTTGTTCTTATTATTTTATTTTTTAAATTACTATTTTGGAGGGGCTGTTTTTTAAAAGTAGAGAATAGGGGTGTTTTTGTGAGGAGACAAGATGCTGCTACATTGAATTATAACAGGGACCTGCTTAGGAATCAAACTATTTGACTAGCGGCTGAAGGATTTCTTTTTTTCTTTTGCAAAATTTTTACTAATGAGGAAGGAAGGGGGAAAAGAAGAAAGTTTTCTTTTTTTCCTTCGTCTTTGGATCTATTACAGAAGAACCTTCCCTCCCCGCCTTCCATTTGTTTATATTAATGATTTAGTAGCCGTCTTGCCTGAAAACTTCCACTGTGAGCGACTGCTGTGCATTTTCAGGCAGCGAGTGACCTTAAAGGTTGGTTCGATCCTTTCTTCGTGCAAGATGCATGCAAAATACCCATGATTTTCTTTTTTTTTTTAAATCTAACTACAGCACTTTATAATTTAAAATAAAAACATCATCCACTCCAGGGCAGTGATGTAATTCCTCTACTTATGGGCACTGACTCTGGTGCTTTGCACGTGACTTGTCTTTTGCTTACTCCCTTAATTTTATTTTAATTGCCGTATAGGTAAGAATTACTTTTATTAACCACCATTCTTTAAGGACACATTTCATTAAAATTGAAATCTCTCTTTTTAAAAAAAATTATTTTCCATTCCACACCGCTCCCCCCCAAAAAATTAGAGAGAGAAAAGCGAAAGGATCAGAGAGGCAGAACCAAAGCTAAAAAATGGAACAATTTTTAAAAGACCACTTTCGCTGATCCAAGCCCCTGTTCCCACCTCCTCTTGGCGCAGCTATTCAAAGCTTTGTTGAAAATAGTTTTTAAAAAATAATATTCATTTTTGTTCTTCTTTCTTTTTTGCACATGATTGTTCTGTGTTAAGCATACAGCCCTCCTAAAGAGGTGAATATTGACATGCTCGCTCACTAACACTATATTTTGAGTGACTGTTTTTTAAGGGGGTGAACTCTTAACTAGTCTAGTGAAAAGTCAGAGAGCGATGTTGGGTGTGTGAGGAAAAAAATCGAACCGAAAAGGATTTGCCTGCTAACTGGGTGTAGTCGGTTATTAATTGTAGCGTGAGACTGAAGGGTGTTGTATTTCTAGCCAGGTAAGGTAAAGCGGGCTATAGTGTTAAGTTGGGCAAGTTTATCTAAGGGCTAGTCATGTTATGGAGGAGGAGGTTGGGGAGGGAGCTGAGATTATTGCCCTTGGTGTTGTTGACGGACACACTGGAGGAGTTGAGGTATTATATTTTGATAATTTTATATTCCTGTTGATGTTTTTTGTTTTGGTCATTGGCAGTTTCCTAAATGTCCGTCTTTCTCCTGCAAAGCATATTGTTTTCTGGAAGGGGCGAAGGGAGTTGCATCTGGGGACACTGGAAGTTTGGGGATCACGCGAGCAACAGGGCTGTATTTATTTATTAAAAAAAAACCAAAGTTGGGAGGTGAAAATTCCCTTTCTGGAGTATTTGGGTACCTTCTGATGGGGTGTGTATCTGTGTGGTTTTCATTATTTATTTTATTTTTGTTCTTAAAAAAAAAAGGAAAGATAAAAGAGTTAGAAGAAATTAAATAAATAAAAGCCCCGTATTCGATGTCATAATTCCAGTGATGATGGCTTCTCGGCAGAACCGATATCTGCCGATATCACCCTGTTCCATGGCTGTAGCCTGGCCTCATTTTACGCTGCGTTTCTACTGAACATGTTGACGTGCTGCTGCTTATATAAGGGAAGGAACAAATTCAAGCGGATTAGTGCTTGGGATTTTGAGATCGGTTACCCAGATTATGTTGGGGTTTTTTTCCTTTGGTGAGGGGGGAAGTTGGTGGGGGGGAAGGATGGAGAGATGTGGGAGGGGGTGAAATTGGGGAACATGGTGGGGGAGATGGAGGTGATGCGGGGAGCAGCTTGTTCGCATAATGTCTGCGCAGCGTCCTTTTTTTCTTTTTTTTTTAAAAAGCCCATTATCTCTAAAAACACATTATTCTTCAGACCAGTATAAAAACAATGTGGGAGGGGTTATTTTAGCGAGGGGGTTTGGTCTGGGAGTCATTAGACCCACTGCTGCAAAACCAAGATACAGAAATCCATCTGCACCAACATTTCGGGGGGAGGAGGGCGTGCGGAGGGGGGAAGGGATGGATTGTCGCTTTTGGATTAGCAGCATAGGGCTTTGTATTCTTCATTTCCCCCCCCCATTTCTGCCATTCCCCCTCACCCCACATCTGCACACCCTCTCTCCTCCTCCCAACCCCCCCGAAGGCATCTCATCTCTTGACGAGAAAATTCCGTGTTACATCCTGATGGCTCTGCGGCTTTTTTTTTTTTTTAGTGCATCACAACAGTGGCACGATGACCTTTGCTTCATGCCACACAGATGCAGGCTCCTGATACGAGTGTGACCACGGCTCGCCCGCACAAACACATGCACTCATACCCAAGTTGGGCCATGATTTTAATTCATTTTCTTTTCTTTTGGGTCGGGGGCTGGGTAGACATTGTTAGGGGGGTGGGAAATGCAGCAAATGCCAAAGGCACGTCCATCCATTTCTCCGCCCCATCTTGCTGTTCGGTTTTCCAGGATGCTGTGTCGCACATCATGAGATTTGAATGTTGGGGGGGGGGTTGTGTGAAGAGCAGAGGCTTGGGGGAGGGAGGGAGCATGTGTGTGTCTTTGGGGGGATGGATGAACCTGACGACGTTAATAACATTTTTTTGGTCAAACGAACGCCCGGTGATAATGATTCAGTTTAACCATCTGTGAAATACATGCTTGCAACGCACTGGAATAAAGGTTACTCCAGGGAGCTTGGGCTGAGCTTGGCGGGCTCTGGGGAGCGTGATGTCCACACTCGGGGGAGACAAACACACACATGCACCCAACAGACCCCTCCCCTCACAAAGCCCACTTGTGTATCCGAGCTAGAGGGCATTATAACATAGAGAGAGGGCGTGGGCTGTATTGGAGCCCGGACCAAACAAAGCCTTTCTTGGCTTGTCTTCCTCTGCCATCCCTCCTCTTCCTCCATGAGCCTGTCCATGCCTTTGATCAGACATCACGGGAATATCAACATTTCCATGCAGTTCTGTGCCAGAGGCTGTGTGTGTGAGACTCCAGGGTGGTGAACAAAAAGGGGAAAAATCTACTTGCCTTTCTCTGGTAGGATGCGCAGGAGAGGCATGGCTTTTCTAGTGTGAGCAGAGAGAGGGAGAAAATCCCCCCTCCCTCCCCAACCCTAGCAAGGGGAAGGACCAAGCAAGCCCTGGAGAGGTTGTGTGGGTGATTGTAGATGGATAGTGTGTGGACAGTGTGTGTGCAGGACAAGGCAGCAGTGGGGAGGTTGTTAACAGAGTGTAGAACACGGCTGGCTAGCTTGTCCATTTGGAACCCTGCCCAATGACTGGCAGAACCTGTAATCCCCCTCCTCTCCCTGGATCCAAAGTCCTCCCTACACTTCAGTGAACATTCATTGTTCAGTCATGGTCTGGCTGGTCTCTTGCAGGGCTCTGAGAGGAGCTGGCAGAGAGAAAGGATCTCTAATGGCTTCCGCCTTCTTGTCGGCCAATTCCCCTTGTCTCCTGCGTGTGGCTAAATTTCACTGCACCCTTCTAAGTCCCTGTGTTTCTGGATCTTTCTGCTTCACAAGCGATAACAAATGGGAAATAGATACATTCTGGGCCATCTTTATGTCCCTTTCGCTTTCCTCATCTCTCTTTTTTGGAGCTGACCTTCAGAAACAGCGGCAAATTATAGCCAGAGGGGTGGGGTGGAGGATTTTCAGTGGGTCAGATGCCTACTGTCTGCATGGATGATGCGCAGAAAAATGAAGGCTCCTTCATTCAGTTGCTTTGTCCTCTAAGGTTTGATCCCATTTGAGCCTCAGCTGTCCAGTTTCAATCGCAAATTGCTTCTTTTGGGCCCTTTCCACCCCTTCCTCCCTCCCAAACCACTCAGTAAATGGCTGTTGCGCTGCAGCTCCAGCACCTGAGAGGCAGCCATGGCTGCCGTAGAGATGACAATGCAGTGGCTGGCTGAGCAACAGGCAGAGGGTGCTGCAGGTCCCAGATAGTTGCTCTGACCCTAAGAATGACTCTGTTTTCCTGTACGGTGAAGGTAGGCACTGATTTTATGGTTCCTTCATTCCCCTAGTGACTGAGATATTGATACATCCCAATGGCACATCCAGCACCCACCCAAATGAGAGGGAATTTGTGTTTAATAATTAGGAAGGTGGAAAAAAAAGATTCTTCTAGATAAACTGTAATGATTTGAAAGTGAGTTGTGTGCAGGTGGAAAGTACTAGACCAGGGGTTGGCAACGTTCGGCACGC